GCCGGTGCCGACGCAGCCGTGGGCGTTCCCGTCTCAGACTCCGGCATTGCGAACAACTTTCAATCAAATTTTGCTTTTTTTTTTAGTTTTTTTTTAGTTTTTTTTTTTTGGGTGGGGGTAGGGATTAATTAGGAGAAGAGGGAATTTTACATAATTTGTGGGTTTTTTATAAAGATATCGCTATGAAAATGGAGGGATTGTAGCCAGATTAAGGTGGCAAAAGGAAACTAATTTACTTGCTAAGATACATGAAGAGAAAATGGTACCTTTTTTTGTGAAATTTTTTTTTTTTTCGGGGGGGTTGGATTGAGAGTGGGAAAGGGAAATTTTACATGTTCAGGGGGCTTTTATAAAGGTTTTTTCTAAGGAATAAGGACCGAGAAACAAGCCAGCTTCACAAACAACTGAAACTAGAAAGAACTCCTCGACAGGCACATAAAGAGAGCTTAAACAAAATAATGCACAAAAAGGGAATGGGAACAAGAAATGGTACTTAATTTGGGTATTTCTATGCGAAGGCTCTAATTAGCTTGGAAAGAAAAAGAGAGGGGTGGGAGTTTTGAGGGAAGAGGAATGGGGACTATATAGGTAAGGGAGGTGGGGGAGGTCCGATGGCTTTGAATCACAGCTAGGCCCCGTTCCCTTGAATTTTTTTTTTTTACTAGAAAAAAGAAACAATTTAGTGAAGGAATTGACATTAATACCCTCAACTATAATTTAGATCCTCCTCTTTCAAAGCTGCAGCATACTTTCCAGGGCTCTTGTTGGTTAATGCCAATAGACCCCTAGTATTTACCCAATTGCAAATGGACTCCATGTAGTCCTATTTGTGATTAATAGAACCCTTAGGCTACGTTTGGAAACTTGGATTTGGATTTGGGAAGTTGATTTAAAATCAAGGGATTTTAAATTTAGGATTTGAAATCCATGATTTAAGAAATCTTTTGTTTGGATATCTTTATTAAATGAAAGTATTTGAAATCTTTGATTTCAAAATCTAGTGGTTGGGTACTTTATTATACATGAATTTGAATTTAAAATTGATAAAAATTTATTCTCTTAACCCATCTTGTTTACATCAAATGCAGATCTCTGCTACCATATATTACCAGATGCTTATGGTCATTATTAGTCTGTTACCATATATTATCACAAAATAGTCGAGTAACACGTACATGTATTAATTACATCGTGATTATTCCATGCTCATTGAAGAACACAAACCAGTATCAAATGAATATCAACAAAACAGAATCAGACACCGCAATGAAAGGCTAGCTGGCAAAAATACATATATTAATTACATCGTGAATATTAAAGGGAAAGCACAGTATAACCCAGCAAACAGAATCAGACAAAATAGAATAATGGCAATAACAGACTTCAGAGTATCAACAAAACAGAATGAAGGCTAGCTGGCAAAAATAAGATCTTAATTATTACACATAGCGTTCTGATACCAATTCTGTTTCATTCCCCCAAATTGACATCCCAGAATTTGCCGAGAGAAGCAACAAGCATGAAGACCCTTCACCTGATATCGGATTCATTACCTTAAGCTTCAGCAAACCTGGCAACACAGCAAGTAACAAGGATAAGTTCGGAGAAGAAAAAGCGTGACAATATATTCAAGCATTCTAATTATCCTCTTGTCCAATTAAAATACTAAGCACAATGTTAGATAAGCAACAACAACATTAACCAAGGATCAGTTAATTAAAAATGATCAAGATGGTTCAGCCTTTTCCTTGTAGATAGAAGAAACAGTAAGTTCACAAAAGCAACCAACCCAACCAACCCGTCCTCTATTTCAATTTGACAGTTGCTGCCACTTTTTCTTCAAATAGAGATATTGTTCGGTTGCCGAACCTAACCCCCAGCTCCTCATGTGAAAATTAAAAGGGCTTGATCATTCATACCACGGCTCTTCACCTAATGTTCTGACTAACATTATAAAAAAAACATCAAACAATATACAAGGAGAATCATTAGAAATTCTGAAGGGAGAGACCAATTACTGGATTAATTAGGTTCATTGTTAGACCATCAGATATGATAATTAGCAATAATGCAAATAGTCCTGAAATAAATAAAATGCTTACTGGTCCTGCACTCGCAAATAACATGGAGTTAAAAGATTGTGATTCATCCAGTATATACATATAGTTACAAAGTGTTTTACTTGAAATTGTAACATCAAACAATAGTTCAGTTTTTGAAACACCTAAAACAAGGAAGAGCCTGTAATAGGAAAAGACCATTCCCCCTTCATAATAAACAAGAAATCATCAATATTTACACTAGAAATTAAAGAATCTAAAATGGGGTTTTACTAAACAATGATGGTTATTTCAAGTAAAGAAACAACCCCTAGAAAGCATAAGACTGGACCATTTGTTCCCAAATGTGACTTGACTGCTACCAAGTCGAATGCATCATACAACAATTGGCAGTGTATCAGTGAATCAACAGTGTGTCAGTGACGAATTCAAGGATTATGGAAAGCAGAATCCAGTAAATCAACAGCGATCAGATTATGCGTCGATCCCGTTCAGATATCCTATTACTAACTAATTTGATCAGAATAGAGGAAGAATGCTAAATAAACAGGAAGACCGTGGGATCCAAGACCAGAATTCTACAGTGAAAAAGTCAGAAACACACACTTGTCAAATAGGGTTTTATTTCATGGAAATTTTGATCACATCAAATAAGCAAAATAAAACTAGTGAGAAGTTTACTTGCAAGTATCAGTCATATCATAAGCTACCTCAAGCAAAATTCAACAAATCATTTGAGTTGTAAACGTAAACTGAGAAACAAAGAAAATATGAAGGATTAAAATACAGTGAGAAGTTTTATTCCGAAATTGAAAGTGCATCCACATTGGCATGAGGGTTTTGCTTATTCTAGAAGATATTAATTAAGTTTTGCAAAATACAGTGAGAAGTATTCTAAAATTTGCATGTCATTATCCATGGACAAGGTCGTAAGCTAATGTTGTGATAAAGCTAGAACAATGGATAAAGGAAATCCCACTCGCCCATCAATTATTATAAACGTTTCAAGCAATGACAACAACAGTGGAGACCTCCAACCTTACATCCCCTGTTTCCATATCGCATCCCTCTCATCAATCAACTTCCTCAACTCAAGTCTGGAAAATAATTCACGAGGCTATGAGCCGCAGTCGACATTGGTTCTTTGAATTTCCCTAGCAATCAATACCGCTCAAAAGCAACCAAATGGCTCAGGATCTTTACAGGTCATTTACGGTCATATAATAACAAATCATATGCATATCATTAAGGTTTTCCCACAGACATATAACAACCAAAACTCCACATTACCTTCAGTTATCACAAGCCCATGTTCATCTTATGTAGAAATAGAATCCCTGTAGATTTTCCTGAACTGTGGAATATAATTCTCTCAAACTCCAAGACTTGCATATTCCAAACCCCTGATTACCAATGAAACTTAACCTTACTTGATAAAACAAACCAGTCACAACAGAAACAAAAAATAATAGTACAGAAGAAAAAAGAAAAAGAGAAAACTGTGATTATCTTAAGTTATCTGCAAAAAAATGACAGATCCTCTTTTGAATCATTACCTAATCCTAAACTAAAGAAAAATAATAGTACAGAAGAAAAAGAGAGAGAAAACTGAAAACTCACTTTGTCACGCTCAACTTGGGTCCAATGCTCCAATGCTCCATTGCGTTCCAGTCAATTTACTCAATACCGAGCGAGAACCGACAATATTTATAGCCATAATAAGCAAGCATGATAGGGGATTATCTCAAATGAAGTTAGAAAAGATTAATAACAAACTATGATTCATCATTTAAGCAGGTAAAACAGTAAGACTCCACTCATTAATTGCACATAATATTTGCATCAGCCGAAAAGAACAAGCTGAGAAGTAGCACAAGTGTAAATCATGATTTCATCTTCCTATCCAAGCCTTGAGATCTTACAAGGTTTCCTGCCCATTTCACCTTCATGCTTTACAAACAGCAATAGGTTGACATAGTGCTCCGCGTGTCACAGAGGAGGATACATAATCATGATTTCAGCTTTCATCACAAGGGCCTATTCATGATGAGATCGACTTCGAGTTCCTTGGAAATCTCAGCGGAGACCCGTACACATTGCACACCAATGTGTTCATTCAAGGAAAAGGAAACAGAGAGCAGCAATTGCAGGCTCGCAACACCCAAATTCCTTCTCCGATTTCACAAGACCAAGTCAAAAAAAAATTAATAGTTGAAGAAGTAGTTCCTAAAGCAGGATCAACTCATCCTCAACATTTTATCTATATATATTGATCTAAATATCCTACAAACTAACAGAAACAATCCTAATAGCACACAAGAAGCCCAGCTCCGACTCCAATTGCAGGCTGATCAAGCTCCCATCAATTTACAACCAGCGTCATCAAAAATCCAAACTTTTTGACACAGACAGCTAAATACTTCAACCAACACCGAGATGACATAAAAGAATCGAAAATTCACACTTTCAAGTGGCAAAAAAAATGAAGCGAGAGGACACCTTACCAGTTCGAAGGACTCGAAGTCGGAACCCTAGACTTCGATTCGAAAACGGAACCCTAGAGAGGGGGATCGGGACTTGAAACGAAAGAGAGAGGCAGGGGGATAGGGGGAGAGGCGGCGGCGGCGAACGGGGTGAGGTGGCGGCCGGCGACCGGGGGGAGGGGAGGCGGCGGAGGGAGGGGAAGGGGGGAGAGAGAGATTTTACGAAACGAGAGAGAGAGAGAGGAACGGACTTGAAACGAGAGAGAGGGGATGCGGTCGGGAGTTTGATAAATGACAGGGGTGGGGTGGAATTTGAAATCACTTGTTTGGCTTCCAAATTCCTTTTTGTTAAATTCAATTGATCAAAATCTTAGCTCAAATCAGAACCCAAACTAAAGATTTGGATTTGAAATACCTGGATTTTAAATCCAAGCCCAAATTCAAGTTCCCAACGCAGCCTTATGGTATTTGTCCTAAAGTGCGATTAATTATTATCTTAGTGTAACTTTTTCAATTCATTGAAAAGTTTAAACAAAACGATCATGAGGATCTATCTCACTAATAAAATATGAGGAATCTACCGTCTCCTTAACAATCATTTTAATGATTTAATGATTTAAGATAAAAAATTATTTAGGGTGTCTATTTACAAAAATGGAACTGCAGAAAGGCAGAATGTAGATGCAAATTAATATATATATATATATATATATATATATATATATATATATATATATATATATATATATATATATATATTATATATATATAATATATATACACACAACAATGTAGAATGTAAAGATGGACAATTAAATGGAGCACATAAGCTGAATTTTGGTATTACTATATGTGCTTATCCTTATTGGGATATAAAAATATGTGTACTTAATATTCCGATGATGAAGTCACTTGCCATAATTAATAAAATAAGTTTGAGCAGGATAGAATTTGAATATTAATAAGATATTATTGATTATGATTAAAAACTTAGAAAAAAAAGTGAGTTGAATCTGAAAACACAAGACGACAGAGTGTTTATTGGCAAGAACATAATTGTAAGTACAGAGTTAGTACTGTGGTTTTGGTAGGCCTTTGATATACACCCTTAATTGTAATTTTTTTTAGAAAAAATTTTTGTCTCTCAAGCAATCGTAAATCGGTATTTTTGTCCTACAGTTTGCCTTCAACTTGACTATTAATTGGAATATGTCGTTGTAGGCGTCAAAAAATGCTGAAAGGAATCCAAACACAGCTCAAAAGGAAGTCATCCAAAATGTCAAAAAAAACACAAGTATAGACTGTCTCGCATGCGAGACAGTCTTTACTGTCTCGCACGCGAGACAGACTTGACTGTCTC